CTTGGCCCCTCCACAGACTCACTGGAGCTGAGAAGGGGAAGAAGACCCCACATCCCCAGGGAATGCCCCAGAGGCCTCTGGGAAGGAAGTCAGCAGGGAGGGGTGGGGGGGGCAGGGCATAGGCCCGTCCCTTGGGGGCCTTACTCTGCTTCCCCCTCAAAGTCAATCTATTCCTACTTTCAGGAAACATCTCCGTATGCCTGTCATCTCTGGGAGGAAGACATTGGCGCATCAAGGAGAGGATAGCAGTTGGGGGGCAGGGGCTCCCTCAAAATGTGGTCTTCCCAGCTCTGCTGACAAGCATGGAGCCCGCCCACCACAACCCCAAGCCATGGCCCCGGCTTCCCGGGAACTCAGTGTCTTCATCTAGTGAGGGAGGTGACACAGGACCCCCAAAGGTGGATTCAGCACCCGTGAATGCTGAAGGGGGAGGGCCCCAGGTCAGACAGGTGGAGGGATATGTCACCAAAGCGGAATTATGTGCAGGCGGAATTATCTGCAGGCGGGCCTCACGGGCCACAGGAACATCCTCAGGGGTGAACACCTTATGTGATCTCCATAAAACCCCCAGCCTCAGGCAATCCTCCCCACCCTACAGGCATGCCACATCCCACCCGCTGAATGAGAAATAAAAACAAAACTTCTGGAGACACTTTCACCCCCTCAAGGTCAGCTAAGGGAACTGTAATTATCCCCATCTACAGAGGCGGAAACTGAGGACAAGGGAGGGAAATGACCTCCCTAAGATAACAGACTGGGAGCAGGAGTGTGACACCAGGCCAAGCGGAGAATGGGCAGGAGAGCTCTCTGCCCGCTGCATCCGGGTGCCACGGAGGGCCACAGGGCAGAGGGACAACCAGGTCCCCAACAGCTCAGCTTCCCTCCCTGCAGGCTTGAGAAGCAGCAAGCCAGGGCAAGTCCCGGCTCAGGGGGAGAGAGGATGACAGTGGGGCTGGCTGCTGGGTGACCTCAGCCAGGCCTGGGACATCCCCTTGCCCTGACTCACACACCTCCAACTCTCAGCTGGGCCACAGGTGAGATGACCCTGCCCTCAGCCCAGCGGCCAGGTTCACTCTGACAGCTCTGTCCAGGGATTAACTACATTGGAGACCATGGTCAACTGAAATCAAAGGGACCAAGTGCCCAAGAGGGTACAGGGGAACCTAACAGTTTTGAACGGAGTTGGAGAAACCTGAGAGGGTTACAAATTGGGGCTGTGTGACCCTGGGCACGCCACTGAACCTCTCTGAGCCTCCATTAGCCTGCCTGCAAAATGGGCTGGTAGCAGTCCCTACTTCCTCCTCCCATTGTGGCCACTTTGCAGCAGCCCTAATGCTCCCTGGGTAGAGAGACGAGCTGATTTCCAACTCCTAGGAGTTGGGGAGCTCTGGGGAAGGGTAGGGGAGGTCAATGGACCCCTGAAGTCCCCCCTGACACCAGCACATGGGCAGTGAGTAGTTCCTGAGCTGTCACCTCCCCCTGTTCTCCCACCATCCCTGAGGTTAACTCGATCTCACCCCTACCCCCGCCCCAGGTGAGGGTTTGAAAAGCGCTCAGAACTTACAAATCTCAGGCCTTTGGTGTCTCGGTGTTTCTACAAACTGTTTCCCAGACAAGCGCCCTCGGAAAGATGTGAGGGAAGTGCAGGCGCTCAGTACCAACCCAGATCCTCGTTCTACCATTGGAGGGCTGTGACAAAAGGGGCTGCCAGCCCGGGCGGACGGAAGGCTGGGCACGGACTGCAGCCCCGGGGTCCGGGAGCCCCGGAGGGCCGGGACCTGTCACCCCCGCCTCCCTCCCCCAAGAGCTGACACGGCGGCCTCTGACCCCACCTCCCGGGAAGCTCAGCTGCTCAGAACCACAAAGCAAAACAAAGGGGCGCGGAGAGGAAGGAGCCACCGT